AGGAACTTCTTCACCCAAAGGGTTGTGAATCTGTGGAATTCCCTGCCCAGTGAAGCAGTTGAGGCTTCCTCCTTGAATGTTTTTAAGGCAAAGACAGATCGATTTTTGAACAGTAAGGGAATGAAGGGTTACGGTGAGCAAGTGGGTAAGTGGCTCTTAGAGCACAAAAAGATCAGCCTTAACCTTATTGAATGGCACAGCATGCTGGAGGGGCCTGATGGCCTTCTCCTGCTTCTATTTGTTATGTTCTTACAGATGGGGGGTGGTCCATTTAAAAAAGGTCAAAAACTGAGATTGTTCAGTTTTGTTTGGTGAAAAAAGTGTGAAAGAACATGGAAACAAGGCAGCTAACAGGAGCAAGACACGTGCCATGATCCAACTCAATGGCAAAACTAGCTCGACAGGCCAGAGCGCCTCCTCCTAATCCCATGGATCGCTCCATGTCAAAACTTCATGAAAATGACTTTGAGCAAATGCTGCTGAGCCACGGAGTATCTTGCTAATTCAGAGCCAATGACATTGCTGTGGGTCTGGAGTCACATGTCCCCAAAGGACATAAGTGAACCTGATGACTTTTTTGCAACAATCTGGTGGTTTCTTTATGATTAATGACAGCAGCATTTTGTCACAGACCTACATTTCAACTGAATTTTACATTTCCCCAGCTGCTGTGTTGGGATTTGAACGGATGTCCCCGGACCTCTGAATTGTGAGTCCAGTGACTTTATCACAATGATACTGTCCTGTCCGAAAGGAGCAGCCAATAGACACGACAGATAGCAAATTGCGCACCGTCAAACAGAATATTGAAATATGCTCCCCCAATTCATCTTCCCATCCCTGGCCTCACCGTTCATCTGGTGTGTCAACATGGAAGGTCCTCTCAATTACTGTCGTCCACTGCAAGCACCGAATGATGAACGTGTTGGGTCTTGGCCTTTCAGTCTTCATTAGCTGGCATTCTATTTGAACAGAGAAACAGCAAGAAGTTACCGGTCTGCAGGAAGGTTAAATATTCCAAAGAATGTAATATTCAGAAACAGGCCAATCGGCCCAACTAGCCTATACTGGTCTTTGTGATCGGTATGATCATGTCACTCCAATAGTGCATTTTCCTGTTTGTGTCTCCCCCATAATGGAGCAGACAGTGACATAATGGTAATAGAACTGGATTACCATCCCAGAAACGCAGGCTGTTCAAATCCCAGCAGGTGAAATTTTAATTCAAGTCACAATTCCAGAAGATAAAGCTAGCCTCGGGGATGGTGACCCATGGCAACAACCGTCAATTGTTGTAAAAACCCAGCTGATTCACTAGTGCTCTTTCGAGAAGGAAAACTCCAGATCCACAGTCTGTAATGGCCAAGCAAGCCACTCAGTTCAAGGGCAATTAGGGATGGCCAACAAACGCTGGCCTTGCCAGCAATGCCCACATCAGGAGAGGTTCTACTTCCCCTTCAGCTTGTGACTGGGATCCATTCAGGGGTTTGTTTACAATTATTTTTGTTCGCAAGTTGGACCACAATGCAGTACAATATAAAATAACCATTCATAAATGCTGGAAATGCTCATGTGCCAGGTCTTTAAAAATTAAAACCATGTATAGGATCATGACCGTAAGCATGAGAGCTTGTAAGTTGACCCCTTGTGTAAGCTATTTCTCCCAACTACCTCACAATTCTACGTCAAGAATTTTGTCTGAATTCCCTATTGGATTTATGAGCAACTAGCTTATATTGACAAGAATGAAAGGTGTATAATTCCTAGATATTAATATCATTCCTGGAATTTGGATTACAAAATAGAGAAAAAATGGGTGTTGGTTACCGCCATGAAAAGGTCAGAGAACCCTTTTGGAACAGTGACCTAAATCCAGAGACTATAGACCCCTGCAATTTTAATAATAAAGGTTTATAGTGCTGAATTTATGACTGGTAGGACATACATTTGCAGGTCATTAGCTTTGCTTTCAGTTCAGAAAACACCAAAGTTGAGTTCAGAAGCAAGTTTAATTTCTCTCCCAGGAGTTTGTGCAGTTCGGGGAGTCTACTTACAGTCACGCAGTCGTAGAGCTGTACAGCACAGAAACAGACCTTTCAGTTCAACTCATCTGTGCCGACCAGATATCCAAAATTAATCTAGTCCCATTTGTCAGCATTTGGCCCATATGTCTCTAAACTCTTCCTATGCATATACCCGTCCAGATGCCCTTTAAATGTTGTAATTGTACCGGACTCCACCACTTCCTCTGGCAGCTCTTTCCATACACACATCACCCTCTGCGGAAAAAATTGCCTCTTTGGTCCCTTTTAAGTAAGTCTTTCCCCTCTTACCGTAAACCAATGCCCTCTAGTTTGGGCTCCCAAACCCCAGAGAAAACACCTTGCCTGTTCACCCTATTGATACCCCTCATGATTTTATAAACCTCTGTAAGGTCACCCCGCAGACTCCAGGGAAAATAGCCCCAACCTATTCAGCCTCTCCCTGTAGCTCAAACCCTCCAAACCCTGGCAACTTCCTTGTAAATCTTTTCTGAACCAGTTCAAGTTTCACGACATCCTTCTTAAAGCAGGGCGATCAGAACTGAACACAGTATTCCAAAAGTGGGCTAACCAACGTCCTGTACAGCTGCAACATGACCTCCCAACTCCTATACTCAATGCACTGACCAATAAAGGCAAGTGTACCAAACACCTTCTTCACTATCCTATCTACCTGTGACTTCACTTTCAAGGAACTAAGAACCTGGACTCCAAAGTCTCTTTGTTCAGCAACTCTTCCCAGGACCTTATGTGTATAAGTTCTGCCCTGATTTGTTTTTCCAAAATGCAGCACCTCACATTTATTTAAATTAGACTCCATTTGATCAAGGTCCTTTTCTACTCTGAGGTAACCTTCTTCGCTGTCCACTACACCACCAATTTTGGTATCATCTGCAAACTTACTAACCATACCTCTGATGTTCACATTTAAATAATTTATATAAATGACAAAAAGCATTGGGCCCAGCACTGATCCTTGTGGCACACTGCTGGTCACAGGCCTCCAGTCTGAAAAGCAACCCTCCACCACCTCTATCTCCTGCCTTCGAGCCAGTTATGTATGCAAATGGTTTGATCTCCCTGTATTCCATGTGATCTAACCTTGTTAACCATGAGGAACCTTGTCAATCATGTCCACTGCCCTGCCTTCATCAATCCTCTTCGTAACTTCTTCAAAAAACTCAACCAAATTAGTGAGACACGATTTCCCACGCACAAAGACGTGTTGTCTATCCCTAATCAGTCCTTGCCTTTCCAAATACATGTAAATCCTGTGCCTCAGCTCCCATCCAACAACTTGCCCACCACCGATGTCAGGCTCACTGGACTATAGCTCCCTGGTTTTTCCTTACCATTTTTCTTAAAAGTAATGGCTCCACGTTAGCCACCCTCCAGTATTCTGGCACCTCACCTATGGCTATTGATGATACAAATATCTCAGCAAGGGGCCCAGCAATCACTTCCCCAGCTTCATTCAACAGAAGGTTTGGTTTATAAAGCTTTCAGATAGAAGGGTTTGTTAGAGATCTGCAAGTTATTAGAAATGATTAAGTGGAGGCTCTCAGGTTTGTGAAAAGTTCACGTCAGCAGTCTTGGAAATGACTCATCAAAAGATCTCCATGGTGCACAGAAAAGAAACTGCGATGAATCTGTTAAGTAGAAACTAAGAATCAAGATAGAGGTGCAATTTCTCTGGATTTGTTTCTTATGGCTAGTGTTGGGATACAGGTCAAAACTATGTTTTGCTGTGTGCTTTAAAATCTTTCTAAATGGCATCTATGTTTTGATAACTTTTGTTTTCTTAGTTTGTATAATAAAACGGCAGCCTTGCGTGAAATATCTCAATGACTAACAACCACGTTAACTAAGTATCCCAAAACAAATCTATCAATCCAGGTTTCATGCTGTTCAGTAGTACCATTATAACACAACGACGGCTAGTTTCACCCAACAAGTGGAAACATCTACATAAAAACCAAAAGAACTGCGGATGCTGCAAATCAGAAATGAAAACAGAAATTGCTGGAAAAACTCAGTAGGTCTGGCAGTATCTGTGGACAGAAATCAGAGTTAACATTTCAGGTCGAGTGACCCTTCCTCAGAACAGGACTTGTGTTGGAAGTGGAAACATTTTCTCTATATTTCCTTTATCAAATTCCTTCATAATTTTGAAGGTGTCTCTTGGAAAAGAGTCCTAACCTTTTGGTCTTCCTGGTAACTGCTCATTAAAACCCTTAGCAAGTTCCTTGCCCAGAGTGATTCAATGCAACACAGGATGGTGCATTTATTTATCTGCTGTCGTTTGCTGAAGCGCAGAATTGTGTATTGTAAAAGAAATCCATCGGCTCAACCTGGCCTTCCGAATGGGTATTATGTCTTGGTGTTTTCCCCGGCCTTTTCCCTGGGACACCACACATTATTTGAATAGAGACAATCGCCCAATGTCCTTTTGAATTCCTGAAGTGAATCTGCCTCCACCACTTCCAGGCTGTGCATTCCAGACATTTAACTGCTCGCTGTGTGAAAAGGCTTTTGTCACACTGCATTTACTGCTTTTGCAAATGACTTTAAAAACAGTGCCCTCTGATTCTCAATCTTTTTATGACTAGGAGGAGTTTCTGCCTGCGTACTCTGTCCAGACTGCTCATGGTTTTAAAACCTTCTATCAAATCTCCTCTTTGCCTTCTCCTGTCCAAGGAGAACAGTACCAAACTTCTCCAGTCCATTTTCATAGCTGAAGTTTCTTGATCCTGGAACATTCTCCTGCATGCGTGCCAAAGTGTTTATATCCATCTTAAAGTGCAGCATCTAGATTTGTACATTATGCTCCAGCTCAGTCTAACCAGTGTCATATTCATGATTTAGCATAACCTCCTTACTCTTGTACTCTGCGTCACTATTAATAAGTCAAAGATATAGTTTGCTTTTTAACTGCATTCGCTATCCATCCTGCAACATTTAATTACTTGGCCATTCGCTTATTGAAAGAATTGGAGATTGCTAATGCCCAGTGAAGAGGATGAGAAATTGTTTTGCTTAATACTATGTTCTCTTGCATAATTTTTCTTCAAAATGAATAATTTGCTGGACTAACAACATGGATGCCAACACAATGCCAATTGACCACAATTCCTACAAAGTCCCGGCCAACAGTAACCAGAGGAGAAAAGCTTATGCCATCCTCTTGCAATGTGACACTCTTTCATAGAATCCCTACAGTACGGAAGCAGGCGACTCAGCCCATCAAGTCCACACTGGCCCTCCGAAAAGCACCCCACCCTATCCCTGTAACCCTGCATTTCCCACGGTAACCCACCTAGCCTGCACAACCCTAGATACTACAGAGCAATTTAACACAGCCAATCCACTTAAGCTACACATCTATGGATTGTGGGAGGAATCCCATGCCGACATGGGGAGATCATGCAAACTCCAACCGGACAGTCTCCAGGGGCTGGAATTGAACCCAGGTCCTTGGCACTGTGAGGCAGCAGTGCTAGCCACTGAGCCACCTTGCATTATATGAGCATTCCAGCTAAGCCAACACAAAGGACTAGAGACAAGATCTCTACTTCAGCCAGTTCTGAACAAAGGAGACCATCAAAACACATTACCGTTCGACTTAGTGCAAATGTTTCCGCAGATATCTATTGCCAAACAATGCTTTCTCACAAAAGAACATCAAAATCATCAACTTAGCCAAGTGTGTCCAACTGAAGCCCCAGTCACCTGCCTGAAACTACTGGTTTGATTGAATCACTTCTTACTGTATAGCTTTGACTTTTGTTTATCAGTCTGCTTGTAATATCAAAAGAGTAAGCAGATGCAGAATTAGGCAAAAGCTACCTCCATTGTCAATGTTTCTCAAAAGTATGATTTCTGGCAAGAAACTGGTGTTTTGCCTGCGAGGTGAACCCAATTCTCAGCATCTCTAGAAGATTTTTGTTCCCTACAACATATTTGGCCCCCAACAGTAGAAGAAATGGCAGAAGAGCACTGAGAAACTTTATTGACACTTCCCTCATGTTCAAAAGACAACAACATGGTTTGTTCAAGACATTTCAATTTGTGATTACTATTGACAAAATCCCTGCAGTAGTCAATGGAATTCCACCCAATATAGGAGCAGGAGTCATTTCAGAAAACATTATAGTCAGGGCATAGGTGCAAACATTACTAGCAACGGCAGTATCTGTGGGACATCCTTAGCCCCACTTGACAGAGTGTTGGTGAGTCAAATTCTTGGACCACTGCAATGTGCTGTTTCAGGTGCTCTCAGTACTGTAAAACAGAGGAAGTTCTTGGATTTTGAACCAGGTTAATGGACGACTATTATTAAAGTCAATTTTGGAGCAGGCAGAGGGCATTCAATAAGATCACAGCTGACCTAACTGCAGTCTCAACTTCACGTTTCTACCTACCCTGGACATCATTTGACTGTCCTTGTCATACAAGCTCCTGTCTACCTCTACCTTAAAGGAAAATTCAGGGACCCTGCCAGTCCACCTCCCCACCACTCTCTGGGAAGTCCGGATGATCTGGGGCTTCGAGTGGAGCTTTGGAGGTGATGTCAGTTCTTTGCCCACCCAGGCAACAGACGTTACATGTTTGGGGGGATCCTGCCAGGAAGAAAAATCTTTGACGAGTTACTTGCACAACTCTGTTAATGCAGGGAGTTGCAAGATTTTGGTCCAGCAACCACAGAGGAACAACATATGTTACCACATTAGGATGTTGTATGACTTGGAAGGGGAAGTTGTGTATTAGAGGTGGACTCCTCAACTAATGTCGTCACTGTCCAGAAAGACTTACCTGCTACAGAGAAGTTGTTTAATGGTGGTAAACAGTGATCTGCGCTCTCAGGCTTCTCCTTATAGCCAATAAAAGAACCATCCGATTTCAAGAGGAAGTATCTTGGCCTCCAGGTTTTAATGTATTCACCTGCAAATGGGAAAGAGGCAAGCAAGGTTATGTCAGCTTTCACGCCACAGGGTCAAATAGCCATGCTGCTGTGGGCCCGGGGCAAATGGCACTTAAAGACGTACATAGGTTCTACTGCACGCCAGCCCTCACACAGCTGAAAAAGGAGTTGGCGCACAGGGCACCACCAGATTATGGGTAATGTCTGCTTAAGAGAGAAGAAATCATTTTGGCAAACCATCTGAACAACCTGCCCATTGTCTACGACTGGTCCAGAAGCTCCGACTGAATGAAAGAGCGACATCTTCTAGCATCCCTTGTAAGATCAAGATTGACTTTTTTTTCTCCTTAGGAGACAGGTAGGTACAGAGAATGAACAGTTGCCATTCATGGAGCACAGCTAATGAACCTGTCTGAAATAACTGACAAACCAAGAGGTTAGCCAGCAAAGTCAACATCATTGCTGCCATCCAATATCTTCTCTGCTCTGTGCTATTCTAAGTCAGAGAAGGTGTAAGGCCATTCAGGATTTGGACAGGGTGGGCAGCCTCAGGAGAGAGGACTGAAGGAGAGGTTTAATACATTTTGGTATCTTTATTTAAGATTACATCTCATACAATACAAAAGTAAGGGCTTTATAAGAATGAATTAGACTGCAGAAGAAAGCTTTACTAGACCTTTATAAATCACCGGTCTGGTCTCGGTTGGAGTGTTGTATGGCACCCTTATTTAGGAGGGATAAAGGAGCTTACGTCTGGGGTCTACTGAGAAAGGGGATGGGGAGGAACACACCGCTCTGGGCTGGAGTAAACAGGGAGCAAAAACTGGAAGGCTGTGGACAGCTTTGCTACACAGCCAGTCAGACTAGGAGCACTGCAATGGTCCCAATCAACCAAATCAGTGCGACTCAAATATTAATGATATTTAGATCTTGTAGTTCACACACACCTGTTGGCAGGGCACAATGGACATTAGCAGTCTCAGCAATGGTGACTATAAAATTATCAGTGATAACTGTAAAATTGATCACTTCACTAATGTCCTTTAGGTAAGGAAATCTGCTATCCTTATATTATGGCATCTTTATGGTCTGGTCTATGTGATTCCAGATCCAATGTAGTTGGCTCTTAACTGCCTTCTGAAATGGCCTAGTAAGCCACTCAGTTCAAGACACAATTAGGAATGGCCCATCAATGCTGGCCTCACCTTAATCAACACCCACGATCCATCACAGAATAAGAAGGGAAATAAACTGATCCTCACTTCGCTCTGTACACTCACTTCCACCAGTCTACCTCCATAACCTCCAACTCAATGTTTAAAGTTATAGCGGGGAATTAAATGGTGTGCATAGAACCAGAGGAGATACCATAAAAACCAGCGTACACCTTTATCGAGAACCGTCAAGGTGTAACATCCCAAGGTGCTTCATTAAGGCTTTCCCACATAATCTGATACCGAGCCACACAAAAAGATATTAGGGCCAATGCCTCCAGGTTTGGTCAAAAAGGTAGGTTTTAAGGAGCATCTCAAAAGGAAGAAAGAGAGGTGGAGAGGTTTAGGGAGAGAATTCCAGAGCTTTAGCACATGGATAGCTAAAATCAATGATCACCATTGATGGGGTAAAGGAAACCAGGAGTTCAGAGTTCTCAAAAAAATACCAAGGAGCAGAGAACTTTAAGAGAAGTTCCTGTTAAAGCAAAATGGCAAGCTGATCAAGCGGTTTCGAAAAATATAAGTACCGCATTGCAGTTTTATTGAGAACCTGATATAAAACCACTGCTATGAAAGCAACTAAAATATTTAACGTAGGCGCACCGGGCACACACTCTTTTAGAAAGGAAGTCAAAAGCAAGCAGACGGCAATCAGGTGATACCAGTGATATGAAAATTTACTGAGGAGGACGGTCATTAGTACACAGAGCAAGAGGAGACCTGCCTAAAGGTGCTCAAAATTAAAATGATTTGCAAAAGCATCAGCTGCTTTTATATTTCTAGGTGCTAGATGACAGAGATTTGGAAGGTGCCATTCAAGAAACCTTAACTTCTTAAGGATAGTTATTGCAGTAAAAATTGCAATATCCTGCATGCACCAGGATGGGGTGGGACCAGTAAATCCAAAATGCTAGCAATTAATAATTCAACTAACTGTGGGAATGACCATAGCCAGTTCTTTGATTATCATTCCAGATTGGCAACATTGGTATTTTGTTCTGCAACTTCGGCACTAGTTTCATTCATTTGAAAATTGCCAATGTTCAAAAACACAATTGTAGCTGTCAACATTCTACATACACCAAGACTGTTACAATGATAATGCCGTGCACCAGTAAGGACTTAACTTTGTTTTAATCCTGGACCTTGTGGTCCTCGTTACAGCTTGAGACCCAGTTGTAAATCATAAAGGCTGAAGGTTTTAATGCTGACAGGGACGTGGGTGCAGGTTTCGTACAGAATACTGCATTTTGTAAGCAGGCGTCAGCTGAATCTACATTTAGCATCACAGGCAGAGCATTTGTATTTGGGGGCTTGGGGATTGGAGGGGGAAGGATCAGAGATGCCAACTTGGGAGCTGAGGTGTCATGAGACAAGAATTTGACTGTGTAAATATGTGGTGGCACCCCAACACACTCACCTCTTTTCTGAAGCCATCCCTCCTTGACAACTGACACTTCATTCATATTGGTACCAAAATATTCCGAGGAAAACCCAGCTTCACTTAAAGACACTGGAGAGGCACCAGCCTGACCCCAACGACAGGATCCTTAGCAACGCGCCCCTCTTCTCAAATACAGCACGGAACCTGTTGGAAGAGAAAGTTGAAAGTGTTAGTGGACTGAGGAACATCAACAGTTAGTAGAGGACAGCGTGTGCACACAGACCCTCACAAACACATACGCCTCATTGCAAACAGAACTGAGTTCAGCACCCAACATTTTCCCAGTGGTGAGAAATATTCAACCGAGTATTTTAAACATCAACTTGCAGGGAAGATGAGTCCAGGTCTGAGCTTTGACCTCGACCCCAAAGGCAAAGCCCAGAGAACAGTGACCTCTCGCTGTTCATTTCAGTGCAGGGTGATGCAAAGATTTCCTTTGCACAGACACTCATGGTATTTTAGGGGTTACGACTTACGAGTGGCTCTTGTGGTCATCGCAAGACCAGGAATGCATGAAACTTAGAGGGAGCCGTTACTGGGATACACAGCAACAAAGAGAACTGAGGCCGACTGGCTCAAGAAGCCTGTCCTATGACATAAAAAAATGAAAGAACTGCGGATGCTGTAAATTAGGAGACAAAACAGAAATTGCTGGAAAAGCCCAGCAGGTCTGGCAGCATCAGTGAAGGAAAAAAACAGAGTTAACGTTTCAGGTCTGGTGACCCTTCCTCTGTTTTGTTTCCTGTCCCATGACATGATGAGCTGTAACTATAAGTGAACACTTCTCTCTCACTCAGCCTGCAGGCAGGTTCTCTCTCAAGAAAGGTGGGGTAAAAATGGATAATAAACCACAGGCAGTAAAGTGATAACACTGGAAAATACCCCCCTCCCCACCCCCATTCTCCTCCCCCAACACCGACCACCACAAGACATTAAGATTGCCCCATTTTCCATAGCCGTGGTCGCCTCGAGATTGCCAATGTAGGGGAGCTCACAATAACTGCGCTGGGACAGCCCAGTCTCAGTGGGACCCTGCACACAGCCGCCAGCTTCTAGACTGGAGCCCTGAAACTCTGTGAAAGGCCTAGCCTCAATTGCTGAAAGGTTTTGTTACAAAATAAATTACAGCACAGGTCACTTGGGAACTGTAACCAGAGAATGATCAGCAGTCTACAGATATGGAGGAAGAATGGACAGCACTCATCACAAGCGCCAAAAAAAAACACACAACATCTGCATGAGGGGACTGTCAAAGATCCCATGACACCTACTTCAAAGAGCAGCTGAGGAGTCCTGGCCCAGCACCTCTCCGCACACCATTCTGTCCAATATCACATATAAACGAAAGATCAGGTCATCACTACATTGCTGGTTATGGGATCTTGTTAATGTGCAAGTGGTCTGCTGTTGCATTTCCTACACTACAGTGGCAACATCTGATTGGCCGTTAGCTACAATGAGGCATCCTGAGACTTCAAACCATGCTGTTTTAATGTTCAGAGATTATCTTTTGCATCAATAATTTGGTCACCTTTCTGCTAGTCTCGAAGTTCCAAGTATTCGACGGTTCTTGCGTTTGATGGTCGTGTTCACACGTTCCCTCTTTCCCAGATCCTCAAAACTGTGAGAATGCTGCCACCTTCAGTCAAGGGGCTGAATGAGAGAGGAAGGTACAAGAGGGGATCAGAGACCTTTGTGATAAACTGGGTGACTGCTGCAAGCTGGCCGAGAGAGGCTGCTAGTTGTTATGCCAAGCCTCCTCAGTACTGATCCCTAGCTCTCATCCTCTTGACACTCCCTGAATGCTGGCGAGTAGAAGATCCAGGCTCCAGGGCCCCAAACCAGAATTTAAATGCAAGAACCAGCATTAGCAGTGAGCTCAGACAGGTCACTGAATAGCTTGAGGTTTTTGACAGAGCAGAAGGAAGATAATGCTCTGCTTAGAGATATGCAGACACAGAGGTGGCTGGGACCTAGACTGATCCAGGCCACTTATCACACACTGCCTTGAAGTTCCATATTTAAAAATGCAAGGGATGTGCTTCCGTGCACTGGCACGTGATGGAACAGCATCACCGTATGAGGTTTCACTCAGAGGGTTAGCAAAGGCAGCATGAATTAAAACTGAGCCCAATTAAAGTGAAAATGCTCACTGATCCACAGCTTACAGCCCAAGATGATGTCATTCGGCCCTTTGGTGTACATGGGAGCTTGCTGTCCACTAATTTGTTCCCAATGTAGTGAAAGCTGGTGTATAAAATGTACAATTACCTTTCTTGTCCATCGGGTCACTTGCCCGATTACCTACGAGTGGGCAATTTGTGACAGATTTGCTAAATCTCTGACTTGCTCTATCCTGTCCAGGTTGTTAGTGAAGGGTACAGGGTGGAAATGGAAGGAGGTGGAGGGGCATGAGGATGAATCCAGTAAGAAAGAAGGAAGGGATTTACCACTGCTCTAACAGCCCTATTCATGGAAGAAGCTGCCGGTACTTCCATTTCATAGTATTCATTTTAAAGTATTGATCCTTCCCCTCGTCTCAGACTCCCCTGAGGCGTTCTGTCAGGGTCAACTTCTAAATTTGCTACAATATATGCTCAAGGGGGGCAAATTACTGTATTTAATGGTGATGACATAATTATCACCACAACATTTCAGTACATTAACCTAAACATAATGATTCCATTGTTATGGGTTAGCAACAACTCTGAACAAGTTGCTGCTTATATGGACAACTGCACTGACAATTTCCACAGGGTGGAATTATTTTGGTTTGATCAAGTAGACTTCAGGGTTAATTTGGCCCCCTGCACGTAAATTCACAATAAGCAAGTTGAGGATTTGGAAAACGCGGTTGTGATCTTCATGCTGAATGCATTAACATGATGCTAAAAATGCAAACACCTTTCTCTGCTTCGTCAATGACTCATTCTTTCACTGTGACTTGTTCTTCTTACTCAGAATTCAACCACAAAGCTTCCAGCTGAAATTCAAAATGCAACAATTCAGACTGCATTGCTTTCGAACAGGACAATAACACTTGCATTTCTGTAGCGCCTTTCGGGGGCATGTCCAAGCCGAATAGAGCACTTTTGACGTGTAGTTATTGGTGTGCTGCAGGCACCAGAGTACTTGATATGCTCGCAGCAGTGAGATCAGCAATAAAAGCAACAAGATCATCAGATGATCAGCACTTCTGTCCCCCCCGCCAAAGAAAAACCAATGTGGATTGAAGGATAAACATTGACTTCAATACAAATCAGAACATCTCCAGCTCTTATTTAAAACAGTGTTGCAGGATCTTTCATACCAGCGGTGTGCAAACTGGGGCCCCTGAAATAAGGTAGCACTGCTAGGCTTTTGTGGAAAAATATTTCACAATTAGCAGAGGGAATTTAGACAAGAACAACCTGTCTTTATTGTGTGTCCCAAGTAGCGAAAAAAAAGGTTTCACATCTCCACAGGAGCATCCTAAAGAAAACAGTGGACTATGAGAGACACAGACATTCAGAAAGATGATCAAAGAGGTTAAGTTATAAGGAAAAAGAGGAGGAAAACAGATGGAAGGGTTTAGGAAGCAATTTTCAGAACTTAGTCATGATTGATGACAGTGCGTGAGCAATCCCACCTTCCTCTATCCCCAGGTTTTTGGGTGAAATGGTAGTGGTGGCAAACAGAAGGAAGAAATATATTTTAGTCCTCAGGAGTCTAAAATTTCCCTTGCTATTAGAATCATAGATCATTGATCATAGAAACCCTACTGTGTGGAAACAGGCCCTTCGGCCCAACAAGTGCACACTGACCCTCAGATCATCTCATCCAGACCCAGAATGTAGCATGGTTGTTTAGAAGGAATACTGACCGACTTGTAAAGAAGGGGACTTTCATCAAAAAAACTGTTATAATCATTGCTATGTATCTGCCTGAGGGAGGCCGAGTTCAACACCTCAAGCTGCATGCTTGGAGTCTATACTGTGGAATTGAATGTACCACCTTCACAATCTGGCTGCGGGGTGATGGTTTGGTGGGGGGGGGGGGGGGGGGGGGGGAAATGGGTAAGGAAAGAGTACTGAATGATGCATGCAGATCTTGCAGGGGATGGTAGTTATGTTAGCCACAAGCCCAGGCTAATGGTCTAGGGAACACTGGATAAATCCCGAAAGGGCAGTTGGTGGAATTTAAATTCAACGAATAAAAATCTGGAAGTGAATGCTTGTCTGGGTAATGGCGAACACGACAGCAACCACCTAATGTCACAAAAGCTCATCGGGTTTGCAAATGCCCTTTAGGGACAGCAATCTGCTGTCGTTACCTGATCTGGCCTACATGTGATTCCAGGCTCACAGTGATGTGGTTGACTTTTAATTTTCATTAGAAACAGCCTAAATTTGAGAACAATTAAAGATGGACAACAAATACTGTATTTGCCAGCCAGACTTGCAAGAATTTTTTTTTTTTTTTTTTTTTTAAAATTGTTCAGTGAGGCCAGATTGAACAAAGGCCCACACAGTGGACTGCAGTGTGCCTCAGTAACAATCCCAACCTTTCAATCAATGAGCTGGTTCTTTAGCACTTACCAATTTTAATCAACGACTTCAGTGTGTGGTTGAAAACTCTTAACAGATACAACTTGAAATAAGTGAATATGAATTACAATCCCATTGTGGCAAGAAGTCAAAATACTTTTTTTTAAAATGGAGGCTTGGGACTTCTGCCCCAATCTCCATTTGTGCTCAACACAGTCATAGAGCTGTACAGAACGGAAACAAACCCTTCGGTCCAACTTGTCCATGTCGACCAGATATCCTAAATTAATCTAGTCCCATTTCTCAGCATTTGTCCCAAACCCGCTAAACCCTTCCTATTCATGTACTCATCGAGATGCCTTTTACATGTTGTAATTGTACCAGCCTCCACCACTTCCTCTGGCAGCTTATTCCATACACCTACCACCCTCCGTGTAAAAAGGTTGCCCCTCGGGTCCCTTTGAAATTTTTCCCCTCTCACCTTAAACCTATGCCCCTCTAGTTTTGGGCTCCTCTACCGTGGGAAAAAGATCTTGGCTATTCACCCTATCCATGCCCCTCGTGATTTTATTAAACCTCTATAAGGTCACCCCTCTGCTTCCAACTCTCCAGGGAAAAAGCCTAAAACTATTCAGCCTCTCCCAATAGCTCAAACCCTCCAACATCCTTGCAAATCTTTTCTGCACCGTTTCAAATTTAACAATATATCTTTCCTTTAGCAGGGATACCAGAACTGAAAGCAGTATTCCAAAAGTAGCTGACCAATATCCTGTAGTCGCAACATGACACCCCAACTCCTTTACTCGATTAACAACATGGTGAATGGTAATTAATTTGTGGATTGTTACCAGAATAGTAAATGGTCACTTGCTGCTGCTTCTGGACCAAATGCCTCATGCATAATGACAGTTGGCCTGCCAGCACCTACTCAGGATCATTTGGAACAAGCAGTGAGTCCAGCGCTCCCAGAACAGAGATAGAAACTTCATCTGGAAAATGGGTCCACAGGACAGACCTGGTTCCGCTGCTAGCAATGAGTATAATAAGATTGAAACTCCAGTGAAAAACAGTACGCTGCTTTCAGGATGTACTTTCAGAATTCACTTTCTCTGAAAGGATCACATCATTTTGTGATTCCTTTTCAGGACAGTAACAAATCATCAAGATAAGTAATCCCCCAAAACTTAGACAAGTACCCTGCTCCTCACAACGGACCTGTGACAATTGCATCACATCACAACTGGACCCAATCTGCTCAGCGAGAAATCCCGCAGTGGCAGCAAGTGGCCACTTGCTCCACGTGACCCATGACAGGATGAGAACAGGTGGAAAGTAGTAAAAGGGCAAACTTTATTTACACAGACCTTCCACAATCTTCGGCATTCAAACTGCTTTACTGCCAAAGAAGAGTAGCCAGTGCTGGAACCCAGAAAGCACAGCTGCCAATGTGCACACAGCAAGCTCCCTCAATCAGTATTGTGTTAATAGGCAATCCTTCTAAAATAATGTCAATCGAGGAACGGATGGACACCAGGATACAATTTCCTGCTTCTCTCCAAAATAGTTTTGCAATGCACGTTTTACACCTTCCTGAAAGGGCGAACAGGCCTCAGTTTAAAGTCTCATCGAAAAGACAGCACCTGACAGTGCGGGAATCCCTCAGTGCTACACTGGGTGTTTCAGCTCGGACCTTGCACTCAACTTTCTGGAAGCCATGACCCGCTGACTTAAGAGGGGAGACAGTAACTTCAAAATAACATTCCCTTTAGAAGCAGAGAACCATTTTAATTAGGCCCTGAGGTCAGGGAGCACTTCTAAACAATGCACAGCAATCCTTTTTGCGCTTGAACTAGGGCGATGACACAATGAGGAACTCGGATAGACTAAGAATACCTGCATGGAGTGGCCAATCCCATTCAGTGCTGAAGAAGACGGTACAACCATTCAGATCAACCTGCACTTGAGTTCCTGGGATACCAAAATCAATTCCGAGAAGCCAAATACGCCTAAAGTCATATCAGGAGCGACAAGGGAGAATTGCAGAGCGCAGAAGGAACATCAACCCTTTGCAAGGGTTGCAGACCCTGCTCCTTAGTGAAAAACCTCATCCGCCTGCAGTCCATGAGCCCCACAGACTCTCTCAGGTGACTGGCAAAGCTGGAAGCAACTCCATAGTTTGTCTGTCCTCAGTGCAAACATGATCTCTGCAATCTTCAGCATTTCAGTAGCTAGAACATTTGTTGCAGCAGACGCACACTATCAGAACACAAACATGGCCTGAGTTTTCAGCACGAAGAGAAGTCAAGCTCTCTCGGTGCTCCAGCTCTCTGCACACGTTTGAAAAAAAAGAGGAAATGCAGTGTTTTCATTCTCTAACAAGTCACCACATCCTATGCAGTTCCTGGACTTAATGCTTAAGCACTACAAACAAAGCTTACTATATCAAGCACTGCATGAAAGGTGCAGCATTAAACACGATGCAGACAAACACTGTGGTCCATATAAACACACAACAGTTTGTAGCAGAAAGCAAGCTCCATAAATTCCACCCACCTAAATAATCAGAAAGCATAATGGACAAAATCTCTCAGTGGAACTTCTTTCTCCCAAATGGCTAATTTCCTTCATCGTTAACATGTATAAAACCTCCATTTCCTCTCTGCTCATCGTAAAGTTGAACACTAAAATGCAACCCTGCATCCAGTCTCTGGTTCAATGCTCATAAGCCACCGCCAGATGGGAAGAAGCAAATTCAAAACCTACCACAAGGCCAATCCATCTGCAAACACTGATCGCAATATTGTGCTGCCTGCACATCATCTATGCAGCCTACTTGCCCAGAATCTTGTGACAGATTACAGGCAGGCTGACTGCACCAGTGCACAGGTGAACCTTCCATTTTTGATTCAGATACGAGCCTCGTTGGTTAGTCTTGGCTGAGACTCGACCTGGTCACCTCCCAGCCATTGGTAGGGCCCTGACCTGTCAAATGACATCCTCCTGTGCTGCAGCCACTCTTGTAAAACCATGCTGGAGCGCACTTGTGATGCACCCACTGTCAAACAGCCCATCACTCCCCGGGCAGCAAAAACAATAGAGGACGAGAGATGGTCACAGAATGGGTAACCTGGCAAGAATCAGAACCTTCCCTTCCAGTGAACATGAGAAAGATGGCATTGGTCAGAACAGGAGTCTAACCAGAAACAGTTTGACTTGGGCCTGGATGGAACTGACCAAATGCCAGCAAGGTCATAACCTTTACACTGACAACTTCATAGACAACTATACTGCGTAGGAGGCAGCAATGTGGCCCATCACACTTGTCCTGGCTCTTTGGTAGATTTCCAATTAGTCCCGTTTAGATAGAGACGCACAATGGCAAGTGGGGGTTATGTCACCAAGTTAGTAAACTGGAAATCCAGGCTAATAGTCTGCAGACACCAATTCAAATCACGCC